TCAATAAAAAGCGCTCTCCGTCGTTCGGAAGGGGGCGCCCTTATCGGGATCCCAAGGCGGAACATTGTTTCACTCGACCGATATGCGTATATAAGGTCACCTTTTCGATGCCTCCCCATTCTACGCGGTACTCTCCTAGTTCTGGGGCTCCACTCCGATGAACACGATGCCATCACCCAGCTTGGCTCGTCGTGTTTGCGCGGATCCGTGCCATTACATCATCGTCAAAAGTGTCTCTGTCATCAGCGGCACCACGCTCCCGCGGTCACAATACAAACACCAACCCGCAACTGCGCTTCACGGCGCCGTCAAATCACCACAATAAGACGTCTTCAATTGGGACAGGAACATACCTTGGGCGTCGCTATCCGTGCTTTGCAGGCAGGTATCGCGTCGTTAGAGCGATCAGCGATGTTGAGAGACTCGGCCACTTTACTGTGGCGCACCAATTGCTCCAGCGTGGTACTGGATCTCACACGAGAGTATTATCTGCAGTTCCAACATGGGTACAATACAATCGATAAGGACCGGAGCGCCGTGATTGACCGATATATGGCTAGCGTGTTCCGACCGGACATCGTTTGTCGAGACTTCCAAGGTATTCGAGCCTTTATGGGCCAGTGGGAAAAGTACACGAAGTTAGACCAAGGGCTCGAGATCAAAATGCAGACGATGCGTATCGTGGATAGCGCTGATGATCCGAAGAGTTCCGTGACGGTGCACGCTAGCGCAGAGATGACAGTAATTTTCACGGAAGATACAGTCAAGGTCTTGTATCCTGGATTATTTGATAGGTCGCTGCACAATCTTCAAGACCGTGAGATTGTTGATCATCTTGTAGGCAGTAGCGGCTTAACTCCCGTGGAGCTCGTTCTGAATTTCGACCAGCAAGGCCACGTATTCTCTTTCGAATCGCCGGTAAATTTAGTGGTTACATTACTGAAGGTACTTCGTAGTCCCTCGGATGCTATCCACGAGCATCAGTCGGCTAGCATGACGGCCGACGGCCACTGGCAAGTAGAATACAATACTGAAGAGATAGCAAGGCGAGAACGGATACTGCCGAGACAATTGCTTTAAGCACATACGGGTATCATTGGGTTTTCACACATTTTAACTCCTACTAGTGTTGCTCGAATCTATGCAACACATTCTTCCCTGTAAACCTGCTAGCCCAGATAAAAGACAGCCACGTAAACGGCCTATTTGCGAGTAAAGATAGTGAACGAGTCTGCAAAACCGTTCATCGCACACGGAAGTGTCCGCGGGCGTTTTGAAATGGGTATCTGGTACATAAAGTGCAGCTATTCACACCAATGGCATCCTCAGACTTTCCAACGTAGACGCGGTAGGGTACCGTGAGAAAGAAGGAAACGCGTGCGCCATTCTTGCTTCATTTACCCAACGCCTTCGAGACAACATACAACATAACGGAGCGGTGCTAAGTCCATCTTGATTTACTGACCTATGGACGATACCGTCCATATAAAGCCATTCATTTAAATGTCAAGAGACTTTCTGTAGGGTCGTTGCGATCATTTACCACAAGATCGCCAGCAACTGACCGTGTCATTAAGGCAACATAAGACTCAATTTAGCGCAACTTCAACTAAAGTAATGTTGCCCTTTTATGATAATAAGCGAAAGCTAATATCATTACCTGCAACGGAACCGTGGCCAACGACTGCGAAGGGACCCATTTCTGGACTTACCTACCAAGCTAACCCCAGCGAGGTCCATTGCGTCAATAATGGAGACGCGTCCCGTGTTCACCGCTCAACGCGACTATACATCAAGGGTCGTCGTCCCTCTAACCGGGAAACGCAGAACACCCGACGGCTTCCAGACGGCATTCGAGTCCAAAAGACCTGCTTTTGACTTCCCCCAGCAACGCCCAGCATCTCCAGTTTCGAGTAAAAGGAAGCAACGTAAACCTCCAAACTATCTTCGACACGGAGACCGATGTAGCATTATCAAGAGAGTAGCTGACGGGGAGCCACAGGCATCTTTGGCGCGAGAATTTGGTGTCACACGTGCTGCGGTGTGTCAAATGTACAAGAACCGAGCGGAGATCCTCTCTCGAGACAATGAACCCGAGCAGCTATCTCCATATCCTACTGCACCACCGCAGGCGTCTATAACCCAAGGCACTCCAACTGCCATCAACCGATCGAAAGTGAAGGGTATTCGTCCCAGCAGTACCAATAGAACCGGCGCGTCGGTGCTGCCAGCGCTCACGTCTCGGTCGAAAAGGGTAGAGGGGCTGCTAAGAAGGTTGCAAGATGAAAGGACCAATCCAGTCGACTCCAGACGAGCTGCTGCTCGCCTGACTTTGTGCGTACTAAGTGCTATTGCCCAAATTTTGCTTCTAACTGTTGGTGGTGAGTAGTATATTACTGGAGGAAACTCTAGCGTCTTTTGATTATCAGCAGGATGACGGAGCATTTAGTGGGGCCACGTTTTGTGCGGTAACGATAGGGGACGAAAGCACGTCATTTCTAACAGCATTTCGTCAGATTGATCCTCACGGCTCGACAGGTGCGAGCTGCAACCCCATTTTACCTGCCATAGCGATATCTAGCTAACACGTAGCCAGGTCAAATCCACGTCAAGCCAGAACATGCTGGTAGCCACAGGAATTGGCAGCTGGAATATCTGGATGTTCCAGATAATATCACTGACTTCGACGTGCTACTATTCTCGACCTCGGCAAACGGCGGCGCGGAATGCAAGGCGAT